AAAAAAAAAAAAAAAAAAAAAAAATCAAATGCAAAAACATACAGATTTTTAGCATTTATTTTGTTGTAATGATTGAGGCATTGGTAGACTTCCACATTTGCTTTTAAATTTGTGAATGTATCAAATTATTGTGTTCAACTGATACCTTTATATATAGCGGCGTTTCATTTTAATAGTGGAAAACACAGATTTGGGGGGTTTTAAATAAGAGAATTCGGGATTTTCAAACAGAGAAAACCAGGATTCCTAGTGATATCTTTTATTGGACCCAATGCACAGCTGGGTTAATGTTAGACAACTTTTCAAATGCAAGGCATTATTCATCAGAGCTGAGAGAAGAAACAGACACAGCGAGGATTAAAACAGTATGTAGGGCTGTGACATAGGTGGACAGAGAGATTTCCAGGGGTAGCAGAGAAACAACACAAGAAAAGAAGCTTGATTAATGGGAAATCAAGACCTTTCCAAAGGAAAAGACGGTTGCTGTCACCTGTAGTATGAAAGAATAATGTCAGGAATCAGGTAGATGGTACTAGATTCATTCACCTGCAAATCTACCAATGTCATATGTGCCAGCACCTGCTGATAGTGCCCATCTGCTGTCTGTCTTCATAATAATTCTTAGATTCTTAAAAATGAAACCTGCTGCTTTGTTGACATGTTTCTGCCCCATCACATGAGAAAAGAGACATGTTATCATACATTTGCTCATAAGTGCTGAGCTGCTATAATTGATTTTATTTTGCAACTGTGGAAAAAAAACCACTGAAGAATGTTTTCAGGATATTAATAAAATAATTATATGAATTTTGCAAATTGATTTTTAAATGGTCCTGTTTGGGCCTCCCCTACCTTTTTGTTACCCTTTTAACTATACTGGGCATTTGACTATATTTTACCCATTACCTAGTAAGCTTATAATATAAATACTTTCAATCTCTTCCTACCTGCCCTTTCTTTTTTATGTAGGATGTGAATGAAGACCCAGGAGAGGATGTTGCACTTCTTTCGGTCAGTTTTGAGGATGCAGAAGCAACTCAGGTTTTTCCCAAGCTGTATCTGTCCCCACGTATTGAACAGTAAGTACAATAACTCTTGCTGGTTATTCCCGTTTTTCTCATAACTTCTGGCTTGCATTCTGATTGTTTATATAGAAAGTCTTGGATAGGCCATAAAACCATTTTGGCTTTTAATTGACAAAAGCCACAACAGTGATTACTGTAAGTGGCTTCGATGGGGGGAAACAATTTAGCTGTTTTTTGCCAATCTCAAGTGTATGTGCCTACCACTAATAGAGCTGGGACATTATTGGCTGTACTTTAAGATTTTTGGAGCCTGGTGATCCCTGAAAACCAAGCTACATTTTCCTGGAATGGCACATACTGGAAGAAGCATCAGGTTCAGATTAGTGGGCTGATTTCCCTCATGCTGTGGGTTTTTTCTTTAAAGTTTGTGCATAGGTATGTGTATTAGGTTTGTAACATATCTATATATGATTGATAAGTATTACCTGAAATGAGACTGGTAATTAGCAACAGAAAGGGACAGTTATGCACATGTGGATTAAAATTTGAGGAAAACTGAAAGGCTGTATTTGTTAAACTCTGGTCAGGAATTTGTAGTCTTAGTAAGATACATTTTTCCAGGAGCTTGTCAGAATATTTCATTTTAAGGTTGTTGGACAACACGGCTGGCAAACAGACTTGCTAATAAACTAATTTTTACTCCTAAAATGGAAGTGTCAGGGTAGAAAATCCTTTTGCATCCATTAGATTTCTCTTCCATTTTTGGGAGTAAGAATGTCCCAATGTTTTCCCTCCCATACTGTGCTACAGTCTTTAAATGTCTGTTTCCAAGGGTTTACAGAACTGTTCCAGGCCTACAAGTGACTTTCACGTAAAGTCAAGGATTTCTGTGGATGATATCTTCTTTTATTGGACCAACTGCATAATTGGGAGGGACACAGGCAAGCTTTCAGGTACCTAGGAAGGGAACTGTGGTACCAAAAGCTTGTCTCTGACCCTAACAACTATACATTTGTTTCAGTAAAAGATAACACCCCCAAAAATCCTTGCCTATCACATTTTTCCTGGATCATCATGGCTACAGCATCACCCTGACACTACCTTTCACACGGACATGATTTGGAAGATGCCATTCTTTATATTATATGTGACAGATGAAAATTTCCCAGAGAAAAATTCCAGAGCTTTTACCAAGAAAAATGCTTCAAAGATGCGTATAATGCTCTTAAAAAGGATGAAAAGGCTTTTTTATGTGAAAGAGAGAAAACTGGTGGTGAGGATGATAATTTAAAATATGTTCAAAGGACAGTTAAGAATTCACCTTCTTTTCTGTTTTGTGCATTTTAGTTTATTGCTCCAGAGAGGTAACTATTTTAGACTTCACAGGTAATCAGAGGTCAATTTAAGCTAACATTGATTCACTGATGCTTTTGTTTTTTTTCCGGTCAATAATGCAATGACATTCTTTTCACCTGCTGAAAACACTTTTAGGTAGAGTAGAAGAGATGGAAAACTACTGACTAACACAGTTTTAGAATAACTTAGGAGTACTGTATAGTGTTTGAAAGAGGGCATGGCATCTTGATATTTTAACCAGAAGGTCATTGATCTGGATACGTTTGTTGACTGGATGAAAAGCCCAGATCTGATTTAGATAAAGACATAAAGTTCCCAGGTTATGTGAACAGGTATATATTGCTGCTTTTGACTCTCCTAATCTTTTTTGCAACTAACATTAACTTGACAGACATTTTTGTTCTATCATTAAACATTATTTAAGGCTGCATTGATGTCATTAGTGCCTCATTTTAAATGCAACTTGTACTCTGACAGGTTTTGTGATGTGAAAAGTTCAACTTAGGTACATGATTACAGTAACTAGTTACGTTCAATAAGAATACTGAATAAGATTTAAGGAGATGATTTTCTACATTACTTTTAAAAATAAATGATGAATTAACCTGATTTTATCTGGAATCAGTGCAACCTGATTTCATTTAATTAAATTGACACTACCAAATCTTAAGTGACATAACTTCTCTTGTTCTTGCTTATCTTTCGGTAAATTGTTGTACTTGTTTTAGTGCTTCACAAGCATATTAGAAGGCTTAATTAATAGAGTGAAGATTTTTTTATTCTCTCAGATGGGAGTTTCACGTTAGTAATAATAGTAGTGTTAGTACTTTTCAGACCAGATTAATGCAGATAGTAGTCACTCATTAGTAGTTAATGATTTCATTATTATGATCTCAAGTATAACTGATATTATTGGCCTGCCACCAATAGCCTCTCTGGAGTGTGTAGGGAAAAATAGTGCATAAAATCAGTTAGGGATGTGGAGAAACATCCATGTGTCATGCTACTGACAGCATGGTCCTTTCTGTTGCACTTCTCCTAAGTTTTACTGCTGTTAGGAGAAGTGAACTCCTTAGCATGTCAGTAGTTTGGGGAGGATAGTAGCACTTGGCTAAATATATGACTAAAAGATGTAGCAGCACATCAAAGCTCAGAGCTGGGCTTAAGGTACTGTTGGTGATTACGTATCTAGATATACTTTTATGATCCAAGCATACATAAGCAGTCTTACAAGTTAGAATCTATGCAACTTAAGATCCTAAGAATTTCTATTAAGTGGCCAGCCTGTTAGAGATCTTACCTAAATTTGGAGACTAAGTGCTAAGAGGTGTTGGATCTTCATCACATCTGCAGATGGGAACCTCCTTAAAGGATACCAGAGAAGTACATCTCAGAGCACTGAGTCCCTTTTTATCCCCCTACTCAAACAAAGACTAACAACATTACTTGGTAGAAGTTTCAATTGATATGGTCAGGAAGGAGACGCTCTTGAGTCAGCCTGTTGGTCAAGGTAAAACTTGCTGTGCTGAATTCTCAGTCAAGATTTGATGTTCTACAGCAGGGTAGTCTTTTCAAGAAGTTTCTCTCACCTATGACTCGATTCCTTTTACCCTACTTCCCTTTGTTTCACTTATGCTAACTTGGTACAATGTAAACTTAACACAGCTAAAAGTCTACTAAAGTTATTTGAATGCAAGCTGAAAGGATTCTCTCTTAACACAAAGATCTACAGTCATCCAAGCCCCCAGCTGGAAAAGGTTGCTAACTGCTGATATAATACATTTAATTTATTATACACCTTTGGCCTTCTCTTCTGTCTTAAAAAAAATGTTTTATTTTCCCCAAATGTGGCATTTCCCCTGCAATAAGATGAGGTTGGTCAGCATTCCATTCTAGCTCATCAACAAACTTATGGTCAGATATTGTGTAACTCTGAAGGGTTTTAAACTGTTCAGTAGACCACTTGAAAGCAAAACTTAATTAATTTTCTTCAGCCCTGGGGTTGGGGGCCTGGGGTTACAGTCTTTTTCCTCCTTCCCAAGCTATATATTGCATGGGGGGTAATGAAAAGGAGCAAGGGACTAACTAGTACCATCCTATAACTAACAGTAGCAGGGGGAAGGAGGGTGTTTATCTCCTGGGCTCTTTCTCCTCCATTTTCCTTTCTGTAAGAGTGCTTCTTGAGAGGAGGGAAGGATTAAGAGCTCTTTCTGCCTCCTGCAGCAGCCTGACTAGCTGTGTTTTTGCACAAGGCAGGCTATTAGGGGAAAGCAGGCAATCGGCAAGGAACTCCTGAGATGTTACTAAAATGTGCTCCCTTGAGCAAATCAGCTTTGTTTTAGAAATTGTATGTCTTGAGTCCATGTCCTTTTGCAATTTAGTACACAATGGAGGCATACCAAATTTGTAGCTGTGCAACTAGCAAATACTTAGTGATGCAGGACAGTGTTTTCAAAGCAACATATTTATTAATTGATAGGAATACAGTGTTCAGTAGCGTTGGGTTAAAATAGAAAAGAAAAGCCTAAGCATATTACCTCTCTTCCTTAACCTTTAACCTTCCTCTTGCTTGATTAGTAAGGGGGGCAGTTTGTCTGTCCAGTAGTTTTCAATCAGATAAACCCTCTTCTGCTGAAAAGCAAGGTTTTTTTTTAATATAAGCGCAACAATAATGGTGAGGGGCTGGAGTACATGACTTATAAGGAGAGACTGAGGGAATTGAGCTTATTTAGTCTGGAGAAGAGAGGATTGAGGGGGGATTTAAAGCAGCCTTCAACTACCCTACCTGAAGGTTGGTCTAAAGAGGATGGAGCTAGACTGTTCTCAACGTTGGCAGATGACAGAAGAAGGAGCAATGGTCTCAAGTTGCAGCAAGGGAAGTGTAGGTTAGATATAAGGAAAAACTTTCTCACTAGGAGGGTAATAAAACACTAGAACAGGTTACCCAAAGAGGTTGTAGGATCTCCATCTTTGGAGGTTTTTAAGACCTGGGTAACAAAGCCTTGGCTGGGATGATCTACTTGGGGTTGGTCCTGCTTTGAGCAGGGGGTTGGACTAGAAGACCTCCTGAGGTCCCTTCCAACCCTAATTTCTCTGATTCTGTCCAAGCTGTTAGGCCCTTTGTTTCTAGTCCCAGTTTTCATTCTTTTTGCTCCTCATCCCAGGATTCCGATAAGGGAGGAGTTGTTGACAAGTATTTCCCCTTCTAAATACCAGAGAGTCTCTTGGGCCAGCTGTCATTAAAAGTTAATCATCTGTCTGGGCATTAGTTTCCATTGTATCTCTAAGCTACCTTGGAGATGCACCCATTTTTCAATCGTGCATTCAAACAAGACATGTCCATCTCATTCTCATGCCAGTATGTACTTTACTTATTTCCCTCATCTCAGCTAGTGTCTTTGGAAAGAAGCTAACCCATTGAGACCAAGTATATAGCAATGAAAGAAGTGAGTGAATAAATTGGCTCACACCTAATTTTAATTTGAAAATATTATAGAAATCTCCCAAATTCTCCACACCTAGATTTTAAGGCAAAGAGATATACAAAATGATGCTTTTTTAATTTTATAAAGTATTTTGTTTTTCTTTTAAAGAAACAACATGCTGACTTTCTGGTAGAGTGATATGCAGGTATTATTAGCACACATTTGAAATGTCCTACATAACTTGTTCACTTGAGTAATGTGGCCACTTCAAAC